CTTGCAAAGGTATGTCCAGGCCTGCACCTGCATGAAATTCAGTGGATTATATCCCTGTACTGCTCTGAAGATTTCTGGGAATGTTCAGCTGCCAAGTGTGGATCCTTATTTCCAGAGCAATGAGTCATGGTGGTGTCATTACCTCAGCATACAGTCACTGTGCAATAATTCAAATCACCATTGTCATTATTATTGTCTCCAACAAGCAACCTGATACCTTCTGCCAGCCTGGGGCAGGTGTGTGAATGCAATCACTGTGCAATTAATTAGCCAGTGCTGCCAGTCAGTATGCAGCACACAGCTCCCTGCATCCCAACTGAACACAATTTAGCAGAGTCACTGCAAGATTTAAAGATACTTTGCAGTAAGAACTTGGTAAAAACAAAGAAAGCCGGCAGCTCTAGGGCCAGCTTTTCACTTTCACATCACACCTGGCAAAATGAGCACCTGCCTATATCAGCCAAAGGGATTTGCAGGAGTGTGGGAGAAGGAGAGAATTGCATCTTATTTCTGAAACTGTGATCTTAGGTGTCATCTGATGTGTGAATTCTGAGTGAGCGAAACAGGGAAGGCCAGCTGGTCACTGAGGTAGCTGCAAATCCCTTCAACGGGCTGTACAGCAAGAACCCAGGAGCTGTCTGGCTCCCTCCTCTCTGTGCAGCCACAGAGCTACAGCAGAGCCAGATTAAATTGTTGGATTAAGCGCTCCCATAGCCCAGCATGTGAATCTTTGTGACAGCTGTGCCTAGGACAGAAGTCAAGCATCGGTGCCATAACTGCGTCAGCTGGCGTGTCATGGGTCACAGCATTACAGCTGAAAAAGGTCTGTTAGGTCATCCACTCCCATTTCTTAGCCAGCACAGATTTGACTCAATAAAGTGTTTGCTACTGCTCTAAACGTGGCATTTTAAGAGATTTGGGCAATGCAATCCCCTTCCTCTTCCCTTGGGAAATTATCCCTCATTTGTTATAACTCACTGGCAGGAAGAGTCTAGCCAAACATTTCTCTGTTTCCAGATGATCCCATTAATGACTTTTCTTGCCTTTCCGTCTACCATAGTCACCCCTTTCACTGAGCTGCACTTTCCTCCCTCTGTACAGGTACAAGAGCCTGCTTAGTTCCTTCCACGGCTTTTGAGAGAAGAACTTATCCTTGAGGGCCCCCCAAATGTTGGATTCCAGTTCTGCCAAAAATATGCCTTATCCGTTGCCCTACATTATCTGCACTGAAAGACTCCACACACTCAAATAATGAGATTTTCCATTAAGACAAATACTTTCAAGCTCTTCCTTTTTCATCTTGTGTGTCTGAGTTTGGAATTATTTTCTATTTTTTATCCAGTCTCCAAAATTAGACAGTGGCCCTACATGCAGCCACATGTGTTGGAAGGTCAATTCTGTTATTTTTATTCACCAGTCTGTTCTTGTTGCCAAACCCATGTTGCTGCTGTGAGTAGGGCTCCATCCAGGTGACGTGCTTGTGGGAGGGAGGCTTGCATCAAGCCTGGGTTTCCCTGTGGAGAAGGAACACTGTGCCAGGGTCACTATGTGCCTGGTGCTCAGCAGCTCCAAGCTGGTTTGTATTATTTTCCTGTCTTTGTGGATAACCTTTGTTTCCCTCCAGGCAATGGGATTCCTGAGCATCAGTGCTTTGCCAGCCCTTTTCACCTTACATAATTAATAGCTAACAAAGTTCAACATCACTGGAGCTATTACAATACATTCTGATGCCACAACAAGACATTATCAGCGTTGACCTTCTTTTGATCTGGGTTTCACACATCATTGGCAAGATCAGATTCATGCCTATGTGACTAATTATGGGAGTAGCTTTTTCTAACTGTTTTATGGAATATTTCATTACAACTCACCTTTATTTCCCTTTACTCATTACTTTTTTCCCATTACTGAGTGTGAATGTTGCCATCCAACACATGTTTTCCATTCACATGGTTACTAGGCTTTTTTTTGGTTGTTTTTTCTCCTGTAAAAAACCCAAGAGATGAATCAGGTTAACTTCCAAAAGCCGTCTTCCATTGTTTTACTCTATATGTTCAGACAATACTGATTAAAATCATATGCTGTTACATCTGAAAGAAATTTCCTCACCTATGTGACAGGCTGAGCTTTTATGAAAAGTAAAGAGAGTTTCACTTATTTCTATTTGCCTCTTTTTTTTTTTTAAGCACAGTTCTCTCATTCGTATTGTCTTGGCTGTGATCTTTAAATGGATTGATTAAAATCAAGATTTTGTAGACTGATATCCTAGCTCTACTTATAGGATTGCAGAAACACCTCTATTTTCTAAGAAAGCTATCTCTGAAGGGGTGCAAAAGACAAAAAACCTACTAAAAACAGAATCTCTGTGTTGCTTTTGGGATTTGAAAGTCTACGTTTATAAAAACTGACTTTTCACAGAATCACAGAATCACAGAATCACAGAATCACAGAATCACAGAATCACAGAATCACAGAATATGCTGAGTTGGAAGGGACCCACAAGGATCACCAAATCCAACTCCTGGCTCTGCACAGGACATCCCCAAGAATTACACCGTGTACCTGAGAGTATCATCCAAACACTTCTTGAACTCTGTCAGGCTTGGTGCTGTGACCCCTTCCCTGGGGAGCCTGTTCCAGTGCCCAACCACCCTCTGGGTGAAGAACCTTTTTCTAATATTTAACCAAAACCTCCCCTGACACAACTTCAGACCATTCCCTCAGTTCTGTCACTGGTCACCACAGAGAAGAGATCAGCGCCTGCCCCTCCTCTTCCCCTCATGAGGAAGCTGTAACTGCAATGAGGTCTCTCCTCAGTCTCTTCTTCTCCAGGTTGAACACACCAAGTGCCCTCAGCCACTCCTCATACGGCTTCACCTCAAGGCCCTTCACCATCTTTGTTGCCCTCCTTTGGACACTCTCCAATAGCTTAATACCTTACTTATATTGTGGCACCTAAAACTGCACACAATATTCAAGGTGAGGCCACCCCCATGCAGAGCAGAGCGGGACAGTCCCCTCCCATGACCGGCTGGTGATGCTTTGCCTGATGCCCCCCAGGAGACGATTGGCCCTCCTGGCTGCCAGGGCGCTGCTGAATCATATTCAACTTGACATTGATCAGGAACCTGAGGTTGCTTTCTGTGGCACTGCTTTTGAAAGGACTCTCTTTTAGAAGTTTAAGACTGACCTTGTTTGAAATGTACTACTTAAGGATGTTTCTTTAAAAATAAAAGGAAAAGGAAAAAGGTTTGAAATAAGACCAAATCAAAAGTAAGAGTCTTCCTTTTTTCAGTTCTGACACCTAAGCAGAAAACTAGTGCAGAAAAATGTATTTTGTGTACATTGCCCTATATTTTCTTTACATGTAAAATCAATTAATCAGATGAATTACAAGCCTGTATCCCCATGAGTCTGTGGCCTTATCCAGTAGAGCTCTTGTGACCAGACCTTTCAGCACAAGTATTTCTACTGCCTGCAGTGCTAAGCACATGTATACTTTGTTTAATCAGCACCATAGCTAGAAGCCAGCATTTAATACCAATCTGCCTTAGACTGTAGGGACTAAAAATAAATAGAGCTAGTTCTTTGTGTGTCTGATCAGTACAGGAATGTAAAGGAGAGCATGTCCCAGACCATTAATATTCTCAACAGCATAATTGGAGTGTTCTTATGTCTTGTACAGCTGAGAATAAGCTCTGAGACATAAGATGTGGTTGGGCATTGCTAAGATGTGATGCCACAGGATGGCCCGCCCCTCTCCTGTCATTCATCATCTCCCATGCATCTTTTTAGAGCTTCCAATTACATCTTTAGGACTGGCCAAAATAACAAACATGTGTCTTCATTTCCTCCTTCCTGAAGGTTCCTCTGGTGTTTCTCCATATGTTTCCTGTGGTCCCTCTCATTCCTGTCCCTCCGTACAGGGAAAGGGTTCACTATGTCTGTGTCCTGTGAATCCTGTCCTGCAGGACCTGCTGGATCATGCTGAGCAGCCTAGGGCTGTTTGCAGAGCTGCATTTGAAATTGTTCTCCTGCTGCAGATCAGCATTTGGGAATCAGCAAAGATATCTCTTCTGTAGTGGATAACTTGCTGCTGGATGCATTCTTACATATCTTTCTCCTCCTCCTCCTCCTGTGTTCTGTGAGTGACAGTGGAGGTGGAATATTCTCCCCTCCCCCCGAGCAGCCACCAGTGGCTCCTTGGGTGTAGGGGTGGAGGAGCAGCCACCTCTGCAACCACCAGGACCAGCGCAGACTTTCCAGTGAGACGGGGAGTGCTCAGTGTTATTTCTAAACTGAAGTGTCTTAGTCTGCCTCTTTGCAGACAATCTTAGCTGGGCATGGGAGGAGGGGACTGCCAAAACTCAAGAGCAGCTGATAGTGCCTCTGGCTTCTACTGGCAGGCTCCATCTGAGAGGCCCTGGATTGGGGCGAGATACCACTGTTGCCCATCACAGCTTCCGTATGTTTGGAGAAGTGCTCCTAGTGGTGTGGCTGCAGGGTGAGCTGCACGTTCCTGGCCCCTGCCCACCTCAGACCGACACTGAGGCTCTGTGGCCCCTTTCCTCTGCCACATCACTGTCCTTGAAGCCGTGAAGACACTTCAGCTGGAGTATGGGGTCCAGGGGACAGGCATGCTCAACCCTCTGGAGTGATGGCTGCCACTGCGTACCCCTTACATGTCTGTGGATACCTGTGCTAAGGCAATGTCCATACACGAGCTGAAACCAACAGAGCTGTCCAAAGCACCCTGTCAACCTGTGCTCTGAAACCATCAGCATGTGGCCATAGTCCTTGGGATGAGGTGTATCTGTTTGTTGAGGCCTGTGCACCCAGATTTCCGCTGTCATAGCAAGGTGCCTGTGATCTGACGCCCCTCAAGGAGCACTCCTGGTGCCTAAGCGCTTCTGCCTCTGTGATTGCATTTACAGTCCTTTCTCCCCTCAAAATTTCTGTTTTCAGTTCTGTTTATCAGGGACTCCCTTGCTGTGTTTCAGCCCTGTTGGAGATACCAGTGAGGAGGGGAAAGAGACACACCTCTGTCAGGCCATTGCCCTGCGAAACTGCGTCCCACTTCCAGGGATCAGCATCCTTGACAAACTCATCAAGACGTGTCCTGTCTGGCTTCAGCTGAACATGAGCCAGGAAAGGGCTGAGGAGATCCTTGGCAAAGAAACAGCAGGGGTAAGTCGAAAGTGGTTTCAGTTCAGACAACCACATTTCCTGTCCTTGGTGGGGCTGGTTAGGAGAGCGGTGCCTTTCTTCATGTGGAAGCAAAAATATTTAGCAGATTGCTCTCTCTTTCCATTACCCTTTGAAGCTTTACCACTCTCAGTGGTGCAAGACAGATATATTGGCTTTGGGGAAGCATGTGATCTTGTCTTGAGTTTTATTTACTTAGCATGTAGATTTATGGAGATGGCTTCCCATTCACCACCACACCCATAGGTATGGTGACTATCCTAATTTGGAGCAATTGAAAAAAAATTCCCTGAAAAAAGGCCCTTAAATTCTGGAAGCTGGTGGGAGCCATTTTTATTGCAATAATTGGTATCTGGCTTGTATAGACTGAGTGTTAAGAAATAGCACACTCATGCCAAGCTTATAACTTGCTTAAAGAAAACATTTCTGGAGCAAAGGGAGCTGCTCCACATTCCTTGGGTCTCAGAGGTCAGGCATAGCAGAGTATTGGTGTCCTGCCTGGGTCCTTTGAGAAGGGCAGGTGCAAATGACCTGAGCTGATGTCAGAGCATAGGAGGAATTCACTCACTCCTGCTCTGAGGATGTTTGGACCCATCCCTTGGCTGACTCAGTCTATCCCAGGGCTAAAGGCTGGCACAGCCAAGTGACACCCTCCTGTGGGACTCACCTGAGCAGCCTGGGCTGTGCATTGCACCTCACCCTGAATCAGACTTCTCAAATAGCTTGGGCAAATTATTCTCTTTGTTTTTCTGATCTGTCTGTAAGTGGAGACCTCAGCGACTGTCTGTAATGTAGCCACAAATGATCCCAAGCCTCCTCAGGTTTTACCTACTCCTTGCAGGCAGAGAATTCCCCACCTCTGAGTGCTTTGGAAATACATCTTACCTCTGTTCCTTCTGTTTACACTGTCCTCTGGTGGAGAATTCAGCTGCAGCTTGAAAAAGGCAGGAGAAGTGGTGACACATCAGAGGTGTCCCACAGCCAGGGCAGCCTCTCCTACCCATGCTGAGCCCATCTGAAACTCTTCCCACCAGAAGTGAAAATGAAAGAGACTGGCTTTGGTACCAGTCCTGACCTGGGCTGTAGGGTTAGGTACAGCTCAGAAAACCCACCTCCCACTTACTTGAACAGCCATAGTCCAATTTTAGCCTTTGGAGCCATGGCAACCAGGTGTGTCAATCAGGAAAACCAGAAGTGATTCATTTCCAGGTTTCATTTCCCTCATTGCTTAGATTAAATATCACATGAAGAACTTGACCGATGCAATGTGAGATGGTGCTGCCTGACAGTTGTGGTTAGAGAGGCAGTGCTGCCATATGGGTGGTAGGACCTGGGGAAGGGAGAGCCTCTACCTGCAGATACTTTCTGTGATAGAAGATGGGGGCTTGCCCTGCACTAGAAATTGGCCTGTTTAAGGCATGCATCTGTTTGTTATGCATTTGTTTGCATTTTCTCTGCCCTGCTGGTGGACCTGAGCCCCTGGGACTCCATTTCTTCTGAATGGCAGAGGCCAACGTGACAGCACCGTGCAAGGTTTTGAAGCTGCCCCAAAGCTGTGTGTTCAGCATGGGTGCTTTGAAGTGACCGGAGATGCCCTTATGACTGAGATTTGATTAATGATTTTGTCAACTCACACTTCTCTTTCTAATAATAATATCCAGACTCCAGAATTAGCCTGAATTTTTAATTCAGTTTTTAAAAATACCTTGACCCTCTCTTGCCAAATCTTGTTGTCAAAGAACAGATAAAGGTGAAGATTTCTTTGCCTTCATAGCAGCAGCTTCAAGATACATACTAAAAATATCCTTGACAATGAGCTTTAATTAGAAACACACTTAAGATTTCACACAATAAAAAGAATGAGGTATTTTTCTTTTTTCATTTTTTTTTCCCAAATTCCACTGGTCTCATTGGTGGGAACCAATGGCTACAATAGTTTCACTGGTTCCAGTTAAAGACTATGGGGCCTCTTATCAGTGTGTATGAATACCTGATGGGATTGAGCCAGACCAATCTCAATGTATCCAGTGAAAGGATGAGGTGCAGTGGGCAGAAACCAAAATACAGAAAATTCTGTTTAAACATTAATAAAAACTTTTTACTCTCAGCATGATTGAATGTTGGAATAGGTTACTCAAGAGGCTGTAGAATCTCCATCCTTGGAGATAATACAAACCCCGACAGACGCCACCCTGAATAACTTGCCGTAGTCTATCCGTCTTTAAGCATAGGGATTGGACTAGATGATCTCCAGAGTTCCTTTCAAGCACACCAGTTCTGTGATTTCAGGACCACTCAACACACTTGAATGACCACTTGACAGATCTTAGACAAGCTGGGGGGACATGGCTTGTTCCCAAGTTCAAGAAGGGCAAAGGCAAAGCACTGCCTCTGGAAAGTCAGACCCCTGTCAGCAATCCAGGCTGGCACTGCCTGGATGAGCAGCTCTGTGGGAGAGGACCTGTAGGGATGGTGAGCAGCAAGCTGGGCACAGACCTACTGAGGAGAGGCTGTGGGACCAGGGTTTGTTCATCCAGGAGGAGAGACAGCTTCAGGAGGACCACACAGCAATCCCCTGGTACCTAGAGGGAGGTCATGGAGAAGATGAATCTAGGCTGTGCTCAGCACCCCATGGTGGGAGGACAAGAGGTGACAGGCATACAAGGAAACCAGAGGGGTTCCAACTGGGTACAGGGAAGCACATTTTCCCTGTGAGGACAGTAAGTGGTGGAACTGGTTGTTTGCAAAGGCTCTGCAGTCTCCCAGATTCTCCAGACTTCTATAAAGCCCTGAGCAGCTTGGTCTGGCCTCATGGCTTCACCCAGGAAATTGGAGAATAGTCCCTCCAGGATAGCTGCCAGCCTGAATAACCTTCTGGAAGTGGGAAAAAGCTCTACCAGGAGGCACTGTAGCCACTAGGGCCTTTGGTCTTATGTTCCACTCATGGACACTTGAATACTTTCCCACTCAATGTACAAATGACTCTCTTGCTTTAGATCTGAACTGGGACATTCTAGGGTGACTTGTCCATGATTTAGGGCACTTATGAGAGGAACATCACTCGACAAATTGTGAGTCCAGTTAGTGAAATAGATTGTCTTAGGCTTAAGTGGGACATGAGTGATGCATAGAAACTTCCTTTGCAGGCCTGGATTTCACCCAGATGAAATGTCCTTTTATTAATTATTTTTGTTGTAAAGCTCAACTAAGTGGAACGAAGCTAAAATAAGACCATTTAAAGTTGGATTGTACTGATAAAAATCTTCATTGACAATGATCTAAAATAAAGTTCAGAAGCTCACATAATGTAGCTGAGCTCTTGATTTTTTTCTCCTTTTTCAGATATTCTTAGTCAGGAAAGAGGGTAATGTGAACAACATGGTCCTCGCAGTCCGCCTGCCGGTGCAGAACGAGGATCCTGGTGTGCTGGAGTACAACATCAAAGAAGAAAAATCAAGTAAGGTCTTTACATTCTTTTGTCTTGCTCTGGTTATTGTTCTGAATCCTCTTGTGATCACCAGTATTTATGTAATCTCACTTGCACTAAGCAGGTTCCTCTTGTGACCGGCAGCAGATCTTCCTTTTACAGTGCAGTTCAGTTAATATTTCCTGCAGCTGCTTTACCTCAGCTCCCCTGTGGTTCTGCACCTTGTGTTACATTTACAGACTCACAAAAGGAACATAAAGCACCTCCAGATGAGGGGGCCAGTGCTTTGATCAAGCAAGAGGAGCTGCCTTTCACCAGGTGGAAGTCCTGAGAAAAGCACAAGGCACTGGCTGACTAAGCCTTGTTAACTCACTGAATCTGTCTCTATTTCTGCCACTGAATTTGGGGGTCACCAGTTATGTGACTTCTGCCTTTTCAGTCATACTGAACAACCAGTTACTCCTAAACTGTTTTCAATGCCTCACTGTTTCTGGGAAGCAGATGGGCCTCATGGCTGGTGGTGTAGGTGCTGTTCCTTGGATAGCCAAGTCAGTCATGAGCAAGTGAAAATTAACCCAGTTCACAGCCAGCCATGTCTAATGCAGCCCTTTGTGTACATGAATGTGTAAGGCATATGATTTCCACTTTCTAAGGAATACTTGTAAACATGTGAATTTTAGGATAGTCATGGAAACACGCACTCAAAAGAGTTCATCAAAATAACTTCACACTATTATTTATATGAACACAGCTAAATCCTCTGTTGCTGAGCTCTGCCCCAAAGCCTGCTTGCCAGGGTGATTGTTTTATTATCTGCTAAACCACTTGTGTTTCTGCAGATCAATGTTGCGACTTATTTCTTTCCCCTTGCTCAAATGAATTTTGACAGTTGCTCAAATGAATTGTTTCCTTCTCATATGGTTCCTCTCATACCTCTGCATCGTAAACAGACTTTAAAGCCAGAGGGACAACTGAATCTCTTAATCTGTTCTAATCTCAAGCCCAGACCACAGCCTGTCACAGCGTTGCTCCTGCACAGGGCACAGCTGCCTGTCTGGCTGCTCAGTTCCCCAGAAAGCTTTCTCTCTCATCCACCTGCTCCTTGGAGCACCCAACTGCAGAGATGCTGCACGTGTTCAGTGCTCCTGCATGAGGGCAGGAACAGCAAACCTTTTGCCACAGCTTAAGGTGTTCAATTAAGAATACAAGGGCAAGGGTTAGCTGCGGGGTAGGGGAACTCTTCTTTATTCAGCTATTTGAACTTGACCTAGGGCTTAGATTTTGCATGGTGGGGAATTGGGTTTTGATGATTCAAGTTTTCCTTTGGATAAAAGTTAAAAAATTGAATCCTGTCATCCTAAAAAATTTCATTTATAGAAATGTTACTTCTTGACTCCTGTCCTGTCCCATAAAATCTGATTTATTCGAGGACAGGCGAAGTAAAATGTAGTACAAAAATATTACTGAGCTAGCCTAGCTAGAGAGATTTTCTGCCATGCTTTTCTAACTTATTTGCTTGCTATTTCTTATTTATCACTAACTTACTGCAAAATATGTATTCAGAGACACAGCTTTCTTATAGGAACAAGAATTAAATCAGTTTTCACCACTTTCATGCAAGTGGCCAATTAAGTAGAGAGGGTAGTTAAAATTCAACTCTCATTCAAAAAGCAGGAGAGCTGCCACCACATGTGCAGCAATCACAGTGGCCATGAGGCTCATGCGTTCCTATGGTGGATATTCACATTACTTTTCGCTGGAGTTCTGTTAGTGTTGAGCTGTAGAAAGCCTCTCAGTTCTCTATCCCACACTGTTTTGACAACAACATACTGGGTATGGAAATGGTCATGCTTTTGCTTCCCTTCTCATTTAGGGTAGGTAGTCTGGCTTTTAAGTTTAGAAGAAATTGAATTAATTCCTGTTAGTAAAGCCAAAGGACTATATCTGGTGCAAGGGGAGATGGTAAATCTGCATCATGGAGTCTAATACATTAACTTTGATATATTAACTTTGTGTTAATATATCAAATATATACTCCACTGCCTTCTAAACTTTTTTTCAAAAATAAAATTATATGTTGTCTGAATGCTTTAAAAGAATTAAGACTAGAACCTGACCTTCCTTGATAAGTACACTGTTTTGCCTGGATTGCCTCAGCTTAATGAAGTGCCTTTCATTCTTCCCTGTTATTCTGTGTGTGTCAGGGTAGGAGACCTCTGAGCACCCCCAGAGATGCTGTCTTGCTGTGGAACGCAAGTCAGTCGAAAGTTCACTGTTACACCCCTGAAAGTGTGTAAAACACCCCATCTTGCTTAGCCTGAGGACCACTGTAAACTAGCAGGGTTTTTCCAAGGATCTAGTCTTCGACTTTAGAGAACCCCTCTTCAGGGAGGGACTTGCTGCAAGGAACTTTCAGCTTGCCACTGAACATTGCAAACAGAGGTGAATCCTCTGAGAACTACCTGCTCTCTGAGTCTGCACTCAAAAAGGACCTACAAAAGGACCATCTGTAATTCCCCTGTCATTCAAGATTCCCCCTTCTCAGCTGTAGTGGGGACAAAGCAGCTTTGATTTTGCTGGCTTGCTCCTAGTATTTCCTTTCTGAGTTGACACGTAAGCAATGATCTGTCATGCACCCCTTTCTGAGACCTGGCTCTTCCTAAAGGGTTTGAAGAAGTGGGAACAAGTTCTTCTCCTTGTTACCTCAGTTCAGCTTGTTAGATTCCACAGACTTGATGCATTCAGATGTAAACTGAAAGCTGAATTTGCCTTGACATATATAGTTCCAATTTTATGGAGATCCTCCCTTCGGTTAAAATTCAAGTTGCAACCCAGCAAAATTCAAGTTGCAACCACTTACTATTTTGAAGCACTTTGCCAGCTAATTCCTGTTCTTCTTAGGAGGACTCAGTGCAATCTCAGTATTACAAGAGACACAAAGAAGGATGCGCTAACCTTAGAGGTTGACATGAGTGCTGATTGCTCTGTGCCATCTCCAAAGCGGTATCCACCTCTTACTTTTACCATATGCAGCTTCAAATAGCAGCAATTTTCTGCATAGCTGTTCGTAAAAAGTCGTTCTCATCCCTTCCTACTTTTCAGATAGTATTTGAAGAGGCTTTCCCTGGTGTCATAAGGACAGTACGGAGGTTCTTGCCCAGCCCCTGTGATCCACATATAGATGGCCATTCAATGATGTATGAAAAAAAATGGAAGCTTCTTAGCATTGCACTGCCAAATAATAGCGGATCATTGTTTTTCTCTTTCCTTTCCCCGTATCAGATCTGCTTTGTTGATGTTTGGTGAGACATTTAGGGAAGTACAGTTTTCTGAGGGGAAGGCTGGATTTAATTGTGATATATTTTTTTTACATGGAAATCCCCAAAGAACCCACTAGGTAAGCAAATCAAGAAATGAAACCTGTTTTGGTTTTTTTTGTGGAAAATTTTCACCTGTTCTCTGAAGTATCCCTTAGAGTCATGAAATAGGAGAATGGATTTTAAAAATTTTCTTCTTGTGCTTCCTCTTTGGGTGTAATTCCTCCAGAGACAGGAAGGCTAAATCCTGGTGGCATCAAAAGGTATGGTAGAGACCAAACAGCAGATACCGGGTGCTATGTGGTTAATCAGGAAGTTGAGAAACCTGGCAACTTTCAAAGCCTTGGATCTCTGTAGTTTTGCTCTCAGCCTGAAAGATCCCTTACTTCTTGCTCAAAACAGTGGAAATCTCCCAGAGCTAAAGCTTGTTACAAGATTTCTTCCATTTAGAGATACAGTGTTGGGAGCTACCTCCCAAACTCTGCTAAAATCTCGACTACTTTGAGCACTTTCTGCTCTGAGAGTTGTCCTTTACTTCTGCTTCGTTCCAAGATGGAGCCCCGGACTTTCCCATCCCAGGAACTGAGCACCATTTCCTCAGCTAACTCCTGCCCTTGGCTCTGCTTAGCAAACTGGTGGTAACCTCAGGTCAATTCCCCCTCCTCTTTATGCATATGCCACCAGCAGTCATTTCACTGGCATCAGCTCCATTGTAGCAGTATTAAAAAGAAAAGAAGCAGATGTTTAAAGTAAATGTGCATTTCTGGAGTAACATACATGGAGAGCCTGAAAGAAGCATCTGAGTATGATAGACCACGTGGTGTAGGTAGCTTTTGCTTTCACAAAGAGTTGTGAAGACACCTGCCACAGGGGTTAAGTCCTTTAATAGAAGAATGTTCTAGAACCATAAACTGAGGTTAATGCTTTCTTTGTTTCTGGATTTTGTGAATAATAGCTGAAAATAATTGATTTCATGAAACACATGAGTTGACTACGTATTTCTCAGGAGTCTTTCACACATGCTTTGGTGTGGAATGGGCAGCAATTGTTTCCCAAACTCTTCTGTACCAAAAAAAAAAAAGGATGGGATTCCATTCCAAATAAGCAAAATGACACTAAACAGAAGTATCTGCAATTACACAGAATAAAGAACATGTTATTCGTATTACTAGAATTTTTTATAGAAATAACAATGGAATTGATTTGCCAAGTCAGTACTGAACTCTTCAGGCTCATGTCCTAAGTAGTTCAAGTCTGACCTAAAATTGCCATGGGTGCCTGCTCCTGTGATTGTGCTCCTGCCTTCCATTGCTGCAACTGTCTTTGCTCACTTGGACTTTTATTCTCCAGAGGCAGTTCACTTGAGCCCATGTTGTGGAGTTGCTGTGCTTTTTCCTCGTTTAAGCCATACCTGCACGGGACAATCTGCCACCAGGTGTAACTGTTCAGAAGCATCTTTTTCAGCACACAGGGCCAAGGCTGGGCTGAGCCCGACAAAATGGATGAGTGCACAGCTGAAAGAGGGTTTGTAGTGAAGTCTTGTCTGTAGTGTGGTTATTTAATTTCTTAGAGGAAAATTATGAAATTTAAATTAAAAGTCTGTGTGCTCTGACCCTCCCATCTTTTCTGGAGACCAACTCCAAATGAGCTGGAGCATAACGGAGGTCTTGAAATAACCTTTACCCAATCAAATAGGAAAACGAAAGTAAACAC